AGAGTCAGATGGTGACTACACAATATATTAATTTTAGTTAATTGATTATGTATTTTTAAATAAAAAAAAAATTTTGAATTTACTTACTTGTAGCCAGAGTTAGAGATGGTTGGATACTTATGACTACTACTGTATTGTATCATTATAGGATCAATATTATTTCATATCCATTTAATTCAAGTTGCTATTAACAAGTATGATAGTTATTTAATTTTACTCACTAGTATATATTTCTTTATAGCCTCATCTATTTATTAATTATAAGTATGACGAATCTGTAATAAATTTAAAAATTAATAAAAAATTTTTTATATTTATATAGGTTAAGTAAATCAAGATTAAACTAACCTTTGCTTTAAATGATTTATTTAAAGATATATCTAATGATTGTAAATATAAGATTAGCCTACTTAGTATAATAGCAATATCTGTATTCTTTTTATTAAACTGACGTTTTACTGAATCTGTTCTATAGGTACTAAATAAATCAAGAATAAGAAGAAACTGTAGATTTGAACCCAAATTAATTTATATATTTTTTACCTACTAAAGTATTTCTTTCTCATTCATTTAGCTACTTGGATTAGTATAAACAAATACATCATCTAAAAACTGCTCTCATAGTATCTTAATTAATTTAAAAATTATAAATAAAAGTAGTTTAGTACTATCTGCAAGACAAGCAAGAGTCACTGTAAAATGGGTGTGTTCATATCCTGTTATAAGAATTGAAATAGTTCTTTTTTTATGTTCTTTAATAGTTATCTGACTTAGTAAATTAAATGATATAAGTGTCTTATTCATATTACTAATTAATTTTAAAGGATAATCATATTCAGTTCTTCAATAAAGAATATATGTGAGAAAATTTTGTTATTATTCATTATATTCTTTAAATAATCTTTGTATAACTGTAGTATGTCAGCAATTTATTAATAAATAATGAGATATAAACCCATCTGCCTATTTATAAGAAAATTGATATTTGTGAATATTAGGATATAAGGTAAGATATTCTTATTTTTTAGCTAAATTATGAGCTTTTGCACTAATCATATATCTAGTTACAGTTTTTAATTGACTTCTTAACTTACAAAACTACTTCAAAAGCTTTATCTCAAGTTGTGAATATTTTGGCTTTATATCAGTATTAAGGCATTGAATATATAGAGCTGCATGCATTAAATCATTTTTCTTATTCTTTCAGTTATAAATTTATTTTGGTTATATATTATATTTATTTATAGTGATTCAAATACTATGTCTATTTTTATAATAAAATATAACCATTAATTTTTTTCTAGCATTTCATTGTTAACATTATTTTTGTAAATTTGTAGCTTGTTATATGCAAAAATTTCCTCTTGACATTTTTTAAAATACTAATAGTTGATTGATAATTTTTAAATTTAAAATTTTGCGTCTTTTTTTTTGTCATAAGGTAAATTATTTAAGGGGATTTCATGAACTATAACCCAAAAAAGAAGTATTAATTTTTACATTTAGAAATTCTCTTGTTATTATAATCCAACTCTGATTTTTAATAGATTACTTAATTTTATAAAGTTGAAAAAATAGAGTTTAAAGGTACAATATTATTGATATAGAAGATTAAGACTTCTTCTATAATATTATTTTGTATAGTGTCTTAAATATTTTCTATAATTTTTATATAAAAAGAAGAAAGTATTAAGTTTTTCTTAATATTTGCAAAGTGTGTATTGAAAGTCATATATACAATGAAAAGAGGCTGGAAAAGAAAAAATAATTTAATTTTTTTTCTTTTATTATTAAACTTATGTAATTAAAACTTCTGTATACAATATTCTCTATATATTGTATTCCTCTTAAAATAGTATTCAGTTCTTTATTTAGTATCTGTAAGTACTATTTAATTTAAAAAATCACATTTTGATTAAGACCCTGGGTATCATATACAGTGGCATATAGTGACATACAATATTAAATTCTTTAATAAATATAGTTAATATAAAATTAGATTAGATTTAAATGCTCATTTTCTATTTTCAGTGATATATTCTACAATAGTAAATTTTTGATTGTAAAATAATAGTGAAGCAAGCAATATATACTTTTCTTCGAAAAATATTTGATCACTTTATTGATTATTACAGATTCTACCATATTAAAATTTATATTATGTTATAATTAATATATATATATTAAAAATTTTTTTTTTCATATAAATACAATTACAAATAGTTTGAAAATAAAAAAATTTTTTTTAAAATATATTTAAATAGAATTAACTTTCTAATTTGAATGGAAAGAGATTATTGGACTTTAAAAAGGAGATTATAGTGAAAAAATATTGAAGTTATCTTTCATCATCTTAAGTTACCTATTCATAATATAATAATAGTTACAAAAATAAAACTAAACTAAAACTATTCTACAATTAAGTAGATCACAAAATTAACAGAAAGAGATATTAGATATTTTATAAAAATCATTAAAGAAGATTGTTAACAGTCTTTAAAGATTTATCAATAAACCCAATATATCATAATACTGTAAAAAGTGTTTTACATTTAAAGGGTTTTTTGGTTGAGCAGGTAAGAGAAAACCATTAGTTTCTAAAGTAAATCAAAAAAAAAGATTAGAATAGTATTATGAAAGAAGAAATTGAGATTCTGAGTGGCATTTAGTTAAATGGAATGATGAATCCCATTTTTTATTATTCCAAAATGATGCTTGTCATTGGGTTTTGCATAGGCCACATGAAAAATTTGATGTAAATTGTTTAATTCCAACAGTAAATCAGAAAATCAAAAGATAGACTTGGTCCTTTAATTCAAGTTTCTGATAGAATTACAGGTTCTGTATATATATTGATATGTTAAAAAATACTTTTTTACCATTTTATGCTCCAGTTCATAGAGCAAGTGCAGTTAATCATGGAAAAAAAAACAATTCAGTATTAAGTCTTCCGTGGTCTGCACAAAGCCCGGATCTAATCCAATTGAAAAACTATGAGATGTTTTGGAAAGTAAAGTTCGGGTACACAAACCTCATCCAAAAAATATTAGGGAATTAATGATAGTTTAGAAAAGGAATGGAATCAAATCGAACCTGAAATTTTAGTAAATTTAGTTGAAAGTATGCCACGAAGGATTCAAGCTGTAATAGATAGTCGTGGCAATCCAACTAGATACTAATAATATAAATAAAAAATATGAGTTTTTCAGAGTTATGTATATAAATTTTGTAAAAATTTTATTAATAAATTGTTAAATAATAAAACGTCGAAATCGGCTATAATTTTAAATGATCGGTAAATGGTCGGATATTTTTTGGAGGGAGTGTATATATACTAATCAAGCAATGTTAACCAACGAACAAATGTTAACATAATTGACATCTATGAATTCACAAGACTTAGTACAATAACAAACATCAAATCCATGTACAATCCTGAAGATTTTATATTATGGCACGCTTCTAAAAAACAAAATTGGGGTTTTTTTTATGACAAGTATGATGCATCCTTTATCATAAACACAGGATATAAGATAGCTTGGCAGAGGTTTCTCATTCAGAATGGATATGTTCAAAATTTAAAATGTGTCTCGGTCAAACTAACGAAAAATGAAATTCACGAGAATAAATAACAGAATCATTTTATTTTAAAAGGATTATTTATTTTTAATTTTTTTTTTTTTAGCAAATTATTTATCATACAGAAAATTTTTCTGCAAGCTTCGGTGATTAAAATGAGATGTTATTTATCACGCGTTTGAATATTTATAAATTCTAGATTTTGTTTATGTGGTGTAGCACCAAATTGTCGTATGATAAAATAAAAAAGAGGAACGTACAGATTTGACATAAAAGATTTTTTCTGACAATGTTCTTACCAACACCAGTCATTTTTTATGGAAGCATATATTTAAGAAATCTTCTAAGAGATATTGTGCGAAGCAAGCGGTTGTTCATTCAATTACGTTGCAACTGGCAATGATTCGAATACAAGAATACATACCAATTGTTGATAATGAAGATTTTTCATTTCTGAGTTTTTCAATAGTTTTGGGGAAAAAAAATAGGGGTAAGAAATTTGTAAGTCGGAAGCTATTGGGCATATGCAAGTTAATCCAATGAAGCGAATTGCATTGAACTGTATTCCAAAGTTAGAAGGCCACATAATGATAAGATTCATTTGCTAGAACTAGGATTAACCGAGAACCCATTCGAGTTTTTTCAAAGGTGGTTCAAGAAACAGCTCGTTTAAATTTTGCAATCTGGTTTTTTAGCCAATCCAATTCCGTGAATTTCATGTTAGAATTCATTTAACTTTTGTGCATAAAAGTCTATATCACACGTGTGATAAAGATTGTACAATGGACTTTGTATTACTTAATATATTTACTAAAAAAAATTGTTTATTTGTGTAATATTTTATAATCGATCTATATCTTTTTTTTTAATACAATTTATAATAGAAAAAATTGTTTATTACATAAATGGTAAGTTTTCATTTTACTGCGTCGAGAAAAAACTTCATTCATGCTTGTTACCCATTCCTGTTGTAGCCTTTAAATATTTTAGATATCTTCTAAAAAGAACTTATCATGCTTATTAACACAATGGTTGTTTATTATAGAATCATTTAACCAAAAAACTTTTAAATTGGTCTAAATTTGTAAGGAACTTTCTTATTCATACCATCATAAAGTGCTGCGTATTATTTGTGAAATCCAAATAATGCAAATTAAATGCGCTTCGATCTTTGTTTATGTTTTATGTAACACAATGATATCAAATCACTGACAAATTTTGCTATAAATTGGATCAAGCTTTTGTGGATATAAATTTTCATTCTTGTATTTTTTTTTTCTTTTTGGACATTTGTAAACAATTTCATTGAGGTATCTATTTAAAATAAATTCTTTCGTGAATTCTATATCATTTCTTTTTATAATAATTAATAACCCAAATTTCATTAGATATATTTTTTTGATCATCCGTGTTTGATTATCATGACGAATAATGAAATGTTTTGTCATGATAAGGATGGTTGGGTAAAAGAATTAAAATTTATGAATGATTAAATATTTTAAAATTTATTGATTTTATTCAAAGATATTTTTATGATTTATTAGGGTCCTTGGAGACTTGATAAAGGAGTTCCTGATTTTACAGTTTGTTTCGAAGAAGGGTAAATTTTCAATACAATAAGACGGTTAATATTTTATTAATCCTTATATTTAATATTTATAAATTAAATTGATTTTAGAGCTATAATAACCCCAATCAATTTAATGTTGATTCTACTTGGTTTTTATGAAATTCATCGATATTCAAAGAAACACGCTGTTCTCCCTCATCGTGCTTTAAAGAATTGGCATTATATCTCGATAACGGTACGTGATACACATTCTTTACATTTAATAATAAGGTCTTATTGGTACGATAATTTATTAAAATTTTTAAAAATATTATTAGATAACTATGTATATGTTGATCTTCTTAAGCATAATGAGTTTGTTACATACGTTATTAAGTCAATGGATATTTTTGGATATCGTGATCATTTCATCTCTCATTAACGTTTGCGCAATGGTAATACTATTTTAATTCATTTTACGATTGTGAAATTTCATTCGAATCACTTTGTTGATTAATTGACATTATTATAATTTTACATAGATCATGGCTTTTTCGATTCATAATAAATCTTATACGTATAGTCACGTATCCTCGTCACTGTTACTGTTATACTGGCTCTTTTATTCAGCTGCACATGCCATTAGATTACGCACTTTGATTAATACGACGTCAAATCTATTGTATTTTTCCATGTTTTTAACTTCTATGATATTGATTTTGGTTGTATTTGTGCTAGAATTACTTCCTAAACCAAAAAATGATTACGAACTTATTGACGACGATGAAAACGTGATTATACAAATTATTGTATTTGTTCTCAACTTGTTTCATTGATATATATATATATATTTCTAATTGATATTCTTTATATAGTTTGATTGTCCAGAAGAATCAGCAAATATATTTTCAAGGGTAACATTTTATTGGATGACACCTCTTATGAAGCTTGGTTATCAGAAATTTCTTACTATGGATGATCTATGGAATTTGAATTCCGAAGAAAAATCAAAGAAAATATCGAAGGATTTTGAGACTGCTTGGAATAAAGAATTAAAGAAAAAAAAGTTAATATAATAAATAATTCTAATGCGATCATTCATTTAAAAGGAAAGGTGTTAGAAAACGTATTAATCCTCTCATTTTTTTTTTTAGACCATCATTGTTAAGAGCATGCGCCTTTACATTTGGAGGTCCATTTTTATTTGCAGCTGTAAGTATCTTTATGATATACAAGTTTAGTTCATACCTTATACTTATAACATCCAATATTTTTCTAGGTATTTAAAGCTTTACAGGATTTATTGAATTTCGTTCAACCAGTTCTTTTGAGAGAACTTATGATATTTGTGAATAGTCAAGGCGATGAAGTTAACAAACAACCACCTTATAGAGGTTATACTATTGCGATATTAATGTTTGTTACGGCAATTTTTCAGACTATGTTCTTGCATCAATATTTCCAATTATGTTTTGTTACTGGCATGAGGGTATTTATTTATTTATTTATTTATTTTTTAATAATATATAATAATATATGATTATCTTATATTCAATATGCTCTATTTATGTATCTTTAGATAAGAGCAGGATTGGTAACCGCGATATATAAAAAATCGTTAAAATTATCTAATTCTTCAAGACAAAAATCAACTGTAGGAGAAATTGTAAATCATATGAGTGTTGATGCACAAAAATTAATGGATCTATGTACTTATTTGCACATAGCATGGTCAGGTCCATTACAGATTACGCTTGCTTTGTATTTTCTATATAAAACGATGGGTGTTAGTTCTTTTGCTGGTGTGTGTGTTATGATTATGATGGTTCCCATTAATGCATTTATAGCTCGTAAGATGAGAACGTTACAAAAGAAACAAATGAAAAATAAAGATGATCGAATTCGATTGATGGTAAGTGTATAAATTTTTTTGTGATAATTTTTAATGACGGAAATTAAATTTTTTTTTTTTTTTGATTTCATAATTATAGAATGAAATCTTAAATGGAATTAAGGTTATCAAACTTTATGCCTGGGAATCTGCTTTCCTAAAGAAGGTATATATAGATCAAATAAAACTATTGATGGTTATTCTCTTTATGATTAATATTAATTTTTGAATTCTGTTCTTGAAAGATTTTCCACGTAAGAAATGATTTGGAATTGGAAACATTAAAGAAACTTGGATATTTGGCCTCAGCTCAAACTTTTACTTGGTCTTCAACTGTAAGTAAATAATCGTTAAACACATTTATTTATATACATATATAAATACTAAAATCTTTCCATCACATTTCTATTGATTTAGCCATTTTTGGTAGCATTTTCAACTTTTGCGGTTTATGTGATGATATCTGATACCCCATTAAATGCACAGCTAGTTTTTGTGGCACTTGCACTTTTCAATATATTACAATTTCCGTTGGCAGTTTTCCCGAATGTTATAGCATCAGGAGTCGAAGCAAGAGTTTCATCGAAAAGACTTGAAAAATTCTTGCAAGCGGAAGAATTGGATCCCAAAGCCGTTATAAGACAGGATTACCGTGCTAGAAATTCCGACCAACCTATTCAAAGTGCTGACGTTGAATTAGTTTCTATTAAAGATGGAGTATTCAAATGGAATAGATTTAATGGCGTTATATTGAAAAATATTGATTTGAGTGTAAAGAAAGGAGAGTTGACTGCTATTGTCGGTAGAGTTGGTAAGTAAGGTTCCTAAATGAACTAAAAAATTTTACGATAAATTATTTATAATATTTTGATGGATATTAGGCGCGGGAAAAACATCTTTGATGTCGTCTTTATTGGGTGAAATGGAAAAAATGCAAGGAGAGGTTGTTGTTCGTGGCCATGTTGCTTACGTACCCCAGACACCATGGATTATGAATGCTACTTTACGAGATAATATCACTTTCGGATATAAATTTGAGCCCGAATTTTATAATGAAGTCATCGAGGCATGTTCTTTGAAATCTGATATTGCTATTCTTCCAGGCGGTGATTTGACGGAAATTGGAGAGAAAGGAATTAATTTATCCGGAGGTCAGAAAGCAAGGGTTGCTTTAGCTCGAGCCGTTTATGCTAGAGCTGATATATATATGTTTGGTAAGCTATTTACCGATTTTTCGGATTTGAGTAATTATCGATAGAAATCATAAAAGTGGTAATTCATGTGATCTGTTTTAATCTTTAGATGATACATTATCTGCTGTTGATGCTCATGTTGGTAAGTGCCGATAAGCTATGCAATAATAAGAAAATGTTTTAATGTTTGACTAATTATATCCTTTTGATATATGTATTAGGAAAACATATTTTCGATAACGTGGTTGGTCCAAATGGCCTTTTACGTACAAAAGCTCGTATATTTATTACACACGGAATTCACTACCTTTCACAAACAGATTCTGTAGTAATGATACGAGACGGGCAAATTATAGAACAAGGACATTTCGATTCATTAATGAAGCTTAAATCGGAATTGTTTAATCTCATTACAGAGTTTGGTCAACAAGAATCAACAGTTGATTCGGAAGAAGTTGTTTCTTCTCCCACAACGTTGGAGACTTATGATATAGACAAAGCAAATATCGGTCAAGAATCAGAGGAAACTGCTAGTCGACCAAGAGAAAGGAGAGTCAGTGTTGCAAGTTTACATAGGCGTCCTAGTCTGATCACTGTGAGAAATGGGAGAAAACAGGGTGAAGAAATCGGGAAAGATGGATTAATGACCAAAGAAGACATGGTTAAAGGAAAAGTGGCATGGAAAGTTTACTCGAATTATATCAAAAGTTGTGGCATTGGCGCAGTGATATTTTATCTTTTCATTTTGGTTATTTCTGTTGGACTTTCAGTTAGTAAGTATGATATTTAGGAAATTTTTATATAATTAATTAATTATTAATTCATTTATTTTATAACTAGCTACAAATATCTTCCTTAAGTATTGGAGCTCTAAAAACAGTAATGAGGATGTTTTGTTATACTTGGCTATATATGGCATGATTGGTTTTTCATATTCAATAATGACAATAATACAGACTATTGTACTTTTGGTATTGTGTACTATTCGAGCGGCACGAAAGTTGCATCAAGAATTGTTGTATGGCATAATAAGGTAAATATTGACTCATCCGAGATAAAATTTTAATTTTTAACGATATTTAAGAGAATATACCTTTTTGTTCATTAATTTTTATAGATCACCCATGTCATTCTTTGTAAGTTTTTTTTTTTTCACTTTCATTTTATTTTCATTTCTATATATTAATAATCGTTTTATTTAATAGGACACGACACCTTTAGGAAGAATATTGAATAGATTTAGCAAGGTAATTTAAGGTTTATCGCATTGAAAATCTTATAAAGTCCGATATTGACATGAATTCTTTACATTGAGTGTAGGATATATATACCATAGATGAAGTACTTCCACGTACATTTGCGGGATACTTTCGAACTCTTTTTTCAGTTATAGCCACGATTGTTGTGATCTCATTTTCAACACCGTTATTTGTTTTTGTAATCATTCCGATGAGTGAGTAATTTTTTTTTTTCCGACTCGAATTTTTAAATTTGAAAGCAATTAATTAAATATTAATATTTATTGATTTATTATTTTGCTACAAGTCTTTATGTATAATTATATCCAAACCTATTATTTATCAACTTCGCGTGAATTAAAACGATTGGATTCGGTTACGAGATCGCCAATTTACGCACATTTTCAAGAAACATTAGGAGGAGTTTCAACAATAAGGGCATATCAACAAGCAAATAGATTCATTGAAGAAAATGAAGTTAGGTTGGATACAAACCAAAGAGCATATTTTCCATCAATCTCTTGCAATAGATGGTTAGCCGTAAGGTTGGAATTCTTGGGATCCATTATTATCTTTGGGGCGGCCATTTTAGCAGTTATTACAGTTCTTACAACTGGTAATATCGATGCTGGACTTGTAGGATTGTCAGTATCATACGCTCTTAGCGTTACTCAAGCTTTGAATTGGGCCGTAAGGCAATTCTGTGAAATTGAAACAAATGTTGTTTCTGTGGAAAGAGTTAAGGAGGTAAATGTTTATATAAATTATATTTATGCTTGATAGGTATATTTTAAATATATTTTTTTTATTATTATCTAGTATATTGACTTGCCAAGCGAAGCACCAGTTGTTATACCTGATAATAGACCAGATCCAACATGGCCACAGAATGGTTTAATTCAATATCAAAATTATTCTACTAGATATCGACCAGAACTTGAATTAGTCTTGAAAGGAGTTTCATTTGTTATTAAACCAAAAGAAAAAGTCGGTATAGTTGGAAGAACTGGTGCAGGAAAATCAAGTTTAACATTAAGTTTGTTTAGATTAATTGAGGCCGTAGATGGTGCCATTGTAATGGTAAGCTCGAATTGATTTGCAAGAAAAAAAAATGGAGAGGATGAATTAATGAATGAAAAACTTTTATCGTTTAGGATGGACTCGATATTTCTAAAATTGGATTGGATGATTTGAGATCTAGGCTAACAATCATTCCACAAGATCCCATTCTATTCGAAGGTATAAATTTCAAAAAGTTGTATAAATTTAAGTTGGTTGTTGAAATAAAGACTTATTATTCTATATATAGGGACCATTACATTCAATCTTGATCCATTTGAAGCGCATGAAGAAGTAGAAATTTGGCAAGCATTACAAAGTGCACATTTAAAAGAATATGTTTTGAACATGGAAGGTAAATTACAAGCCCAAGTATTAGAAGGTGGCGATAATTTCAGTCAAGGGCAAAGACAATTGTTATGTTTGGCTAGAGCTTTATTAAGGTAAAAAAAAAAAAAAAAATTTCACACAATTTTGAACTTATTTATATAATTGATCCATTTGAGTTAAAAAATTTGATTTTTTTTCATAGGAGATCCAATGTTATCGTTTTGGATGAAGGTTCGTAATACAGATTTATTTATGTCCTATAATTAATTATCCATGATATTTATTAAAATAAAAAATTTTTTATAGCTACTGCAAGTGTTGACGTAGAGACGGACTTCCAAATTCAAAATACCATTCGAACCGAGTTTAATTGGGCCACTTTACTTTGTATTGCTCATCGCTTAAGAACAATAATCGATTACGATAGGGTAGGTTTTTTTTTTTTTTTTTTTTTTTTTTTTTTTTTTAAAGACGATACAATGTTATCGGTATTGAAATTATTGCTAAAACATTATTCATATTTCAATCAATAACAGGTATTGGTTCTTGGTAAGTTATCTAACAATTTCTATTACGTCGTCTAAGTATTATTATTATACCATCTATTTTATGATAATCATTTTTTATTTTATTTATTTTTTATTTAGATCAAGGAAACGTTGCAGAATTCGATACACCATATAATTTATTACAAAATTCGAATAGTTTATTCTATAAATTATGTGAACAAAGTAATGAATTCGAATTTCTAAAAGAACTTGCAACAAAGAAAGCAAGCAACGTAAATGACGCGTGAATAATCAAACATTACTACTCGAAATAGATTGTATAACAACTTTTTTTCATCAAAATTAGGTTAAATCCTTTTCATGTTACAATAAATATTGAAATATTTTTTGGTAAACCTTTTATTTGTTGAATTATTGATCGACTTCCAAAACATTTACCATAAAAGAATGTGAGTCACTTTTCAAGGGTCACAATCTCTTTAAGTTTTTGGATGTCATTATGCCATTGTTGAATGTGGCTTAAAAAATTTTGTTCTTGGATGATTGTTCTATATTAAGTTCTTATTATTCTTATTCAAAAAGAAGTAAACTGGTATACCTAATGAATTGTCACCTGAATTTTGCTGCGAGATTACACAGGTGGTTTCCCACCCCATACATATCCATCTTAAAGCTGATTGCTGATCTCCGAATTTTTTTTTTTATGAAACTGATATTTCTGGTGGATAAGGAATCTCGAAATTGATAAACAATTAATTACACTAATTATTTTTCAATATAAATAATGATTAAACAACATGCTTATTTATTGTCATATACATGCAATTGTATAATTTATAATATATATAGTTGCATAGTTGCATTATTATTTTTATTTTTAGGTGAGAGTTATCTTTTTTTTTTTTGGTTATTAAAAAAGCAAGTTTAAATTTTTTTTTTTTTGTGTGTTGGCTGGTGCCTTACATAATAATGATCGACTATAAATAAAGCGAAGGCTTTCGTTATATGGGGGCTTTGTTCTTCTTTTGAAACAAGTATCATTTTTGGAATTATACAAAGAAATCATTTTAAACTTGATTTGGTCATGAACTTCTTATTCCATAAAACAAAAAAAAAGAAGGGTACTCAGAAACAAGTGAGAAGAAAATAATAAAAATAAAAGGAATTAACGAAAAATAATAAATGAGTTTTGATTGATGATGGATCTGGCGCACAATTAATCATAGGTACATGATGGTTAAAAAACCACGCTGATGCACAGTCAACTAATTTCGGATGATGCAGATTACTTTTTTTTAAAAAAAGGTAAGATCGGGATTAAACTAACATAACTTAAACGAGTGTTAAATAGATTGCATAAAAAAAAATTGAATATGAACGAATCGAGATTTTGTAATAGAATATGGTCCTGCATGATTGCATCGCCTCATATATCTTTTTATAATTTATTATTGTAATCTTATTTAAAACTTCGTAATCAGTATTAATAAGGTTTAAATATAAAAGATGTTTGCGAAAAAGACTTCTATTTTTCTAAAAAAAAAAATAAAATCTTTGTTTGAAATTTTTTTTGGCGATTTTTCCCATAGAAGTAAAATTTTTGACCTTATTTTAATCTCTTTATGCATGGAAAACCCCTTTTGTCTTTGATAGACTAAACATATATATAAAAAAAAAATAATAACCAACTTATTATTTAAATCATCCTATTTCCCTATTGCATAAAATTTTTTCATTTCACGTCTTCAATTTTTATTTGAATTTGAAATTTTTATCATTTTCTATTTTGCACGATTAAAAAAAAAAAATATTATTTTTTTTAGTAATGTCTCGGTTATTTTTTGAAATTCCCGTCATGATTGGAGCTATTGAAATCTCTAGGGTAGCTTTACTTGATCCTTTAGCTAAAGTATCTTTACCTTATTTCAAAACGACCACCAAACATCATGGTTACACCAACGCACTGAAGTGCGCTTCCACGGTAGCCCTGTATTATTTACTTGCGGACAACTTTATGTTTTTACCGATATATTTTTTAAAAGTGGCTATTGGAACCATCATCGGAACCATTTTCGTCTGCTCCATCCTATGCAATTTCACGCCTCTATGGGAAATTTTAATGACCTCTTTCGTGCACGTCACGGTAAAAGATAACAAAGCATCTTCTCGCGATCGCACGTCCAATCTTGACGACGTTATCGTCGGTAACCTTGTTGTACCTTTCAAACAACAACAACTCCCTTACAATAACAATAATGAAACCTTGATTAAAACGAGTGAAAGGAACCATTTCCTTCAACTTGGGATTAAATTATCAAATGAGAACAACTACAAATTATCCTTCCCAAAGAAATTTCATCGGTTCAATCAAAATGTTCAAAAAAATTTTCAACACGAAGTTATCATCATGAACGCTAGCGTTTTGGTTAGATTGAATAGATTACTTTCAATCCCCTCCCGATCATCAACTTCTCGTTCGCGAAAAATTTTCCCTGCAACGATACCAATTTTCCCCAGGAAAAGTTTATTAATTTGTGATTCTCATGAATTAAAGAAACCTCTTTGTGAATTTTCGGAAAAACAAGTTCACGTCGATGCAGAAGTTTACGTGGCACCACCTGGTGATTTATTCCTCTCGGAAAAAATTGATAAATTAGATCAAGAACTTGTCTACTTAAAGGAGCATGAAAGTTTAACAAGAGAATTAATTAGTCAAAAAGTACAACAAAATGATTTAATCGATGAGGAATATGAGTCCACCAAAAAAATTCATCAAGAGTTGATCAGTCAAATTGAACGTATTGATAATCAAAAACATCAGTATCAAGTTCAAGTTCAAGAAAACATCATTTCAAAGGTAACGTATCTTTTTTTAAAAAAAAAAAAAAAAAGTTATAAAGCGAACGATATTTATTTACTAATGACGGCATAAAAACTTTGTGTGACATTAATAGGATGTGACGAAGATTACCATCCCGGCTTTTACCATTAAACGAGAAAATTCAAAAAAGTTTGCCATATACGTTATTATGGTACAAAGACTTGACGCTGCCACTGGTCAAGTTAAATCTGGCTGGATCGTTCCTCGTAGATACAATGAATTTTCCTTGTTAAATAAATACTTGAAAAAACATCACTCTTCATTTGTTAAGAAATTCCAACTTCCTGGAAAGACATTACTTAATACTTTAGATAATTCTTTCTTGGAATCTCGTCGTATTCAACTTGAAAATTTTTTGCAGGTAACGTATACTTTCTTATTGTCCAAGGTTGTTGTTATCGATCTTTTAACGAAAATATTTATTCTGAAATCTCTCTTGTAGGGTATTTTGACTAATGATGAAATTTGTGAAGAAAAACAATTCTTGAAATTCTTGTCAAAAGAAAACTAAAAGAATTACCTTTATTCAAAAATTTAGACTAATTCTTAAAGATTGTTTTAAAACAAAAAACAAAACAAAAAAAAAAAAAAACATATTATTAATCCCCCACTTTTTTTTTCAAACTTAAACACAATTTTTTTTAAAAGATAAAAAAAAGATAAAAAATAATCCTAAAATACATATATATGGGACACTATATTTACTAGATGTTAGAATATCCAACGTAGGAGGAAAATATTATTTTATATAGGTCATTTTGTAAATTTTATTGAATAGTTTAATTTCTTTTATTGTATATATTCATTTTATTTTGGTTATTGGTATATATTTTATGTAAAAAAAAAAAAAAAAAAAAAAAAAAATCTTACTAAAGCCTATTATTATTCATATTATCATCTATCATAAATCATCATGAAATATACTATTCATAATTCCCGTATATATTGTATTTTTTTTCATCAAAAAAAAAAAAAAAAAATAGGAAAAAAATAAAAAAGAATAATTTTTTAATTTTTTAATAATTTACAGTTTCAATGTTCACAATAAATGCTTTTAATGGGGCTGTATTTTGATAAATTCATCCTGAAAGTTTTTTTACGCGTCTAATACATTTTTTTTCTACATTAATTCTAATTTAAATGAAATTAAAACATCACATTACTACAAAAAAAAAAACCCCCCGTGCAATATTTTTAAATATATTAATTAAATAAATTTTTTTTATTAAAACATATCTTTACAAGTAAATCATATTATAACAATTACTTTAAGTTTTATTAAATTTTTTTTTTTTTTGGAGTCTTAATCTTTTAATCAATACTTTGTTTAGAACTAATTCCCAAGAATGCTTGAGTGCGCTACATTTAAATTATAGTTTTTTTTTTTTTGAGGACGATAATCGAAATCTCGTAAAAAAAAAAAAAAAAAAAAAAAAAAAAAATTTTTTTTATCACAAGATTGGCATAATATTTATGCTATTACATTTTAATCAAACAATATAAAAAAATTTCCGAAACCTTGATCCAAATAATTTAAGAATATGATTCCTCTCTAAATTAATAGAGATTGATAACCAATCGGTTCTAATGAACAATCTATATTTGAATTTAATAAAAGGATCATCAATTTAATTTTAATAATTAATTAATTTATTATTAGCTTATGCAAACTTTAATTTCTTTTACTTTCTAACTTTATATAATGTTATTAAATATAATTTTATAATTTTAATACATTTTTATTGTTAATTTACTTTATATCTAAAAAAAAATCTAATAAATTTTTAAATAGTAATGTTTAATTAATTTAGCAATCATTATAAATTTTGATCCTCTTAAACTAAATAATTTTTATTTTTAATAAAATAATTAGTAATTTTTTTTAAATATTGATTTATTGTTATAGAAATTTTTTTAAACAAAATATTTAGTAAAAATACCATATTAAAATTTATTTTATTAAATTAAGAAAATTATCAGTTAATTTGATATAAATAAAAGAATTTACAAATATTATAATATTTAAATTATTTAAAATACATAAAAAATTAATTTTAAAATTATTATCATTACTATTTGTAAATTTTTAAAAATAGTATAATCAGGTGATTTGTCAATCAATTATAAACTTACATAACATTACCACTAAAGCTATATTTTATTTGTCAAGTATTTGCTATAAGGGTTAATATTAGAGTTAGGGTTTGGATTAGGATTAGAATTAGAGTAAAATTAGGATTAGTTTAAGGGATAGCAAATTTGTCACATCACATCACATCCTAGCTATTCTTCAATTTACTAAGTATTCTAGAGACTTAGAAATTATTTTAAGAGAAAATGCTAATTATCACAATTATATGTTACCCCTTAATAAGTATATATGACCTAACAAATCAAATCTGACTACCATTTTTTAGTGACGACGTTAAGGCTATTATTAATTATAATAAAAAAGGAATTTTTTTAAAAAAATTATTTTTAACTTTTATTAACCTTCATAATCTAGAGTATTTGAACCTTATATATTAGTAAGGTTTTCATATGTAAAAGTTTCTTTTAGCTTATAAAATAATTTTTAACTTCTTAGCAATTTCAAAATGATTCACTAATGATTATTATAGTTATTGATAACATTCTTGTTACAATTCTTAAGTAAGTTTTTTAATAGCTTCATTTAAGTTTATACTTATCTTTTTTTATAAAATATATTTTAAGTAATGAGAAATGGTTTTTTGTATGAGATTTTATCATTTTATAATAATTTATTTTAATATAAAATTTTTAATTTTTTAGAAAAATGTAATAATTGTTAATTTTTTTTTATAAATTTAATATGTTTTTATTATAAATATATTTAAAAATATTTATTATTTAAATTATTAAAAAATTATTCAATTTTTTGAAAAGAATTTTTTATTTTTTCAATAATAAGAATAAAAAATTTATTAATTTTTATTATATAATTTATTATTTTTAATAAACCATTTATTTTTATATTTTATATTACTTTTTTTTTTTATTTTTAAATATTATTTAAATATTTTCCTAGTTTTTTAATTTTTTTTTTTTATTATTTTCAATGTTTTAATATTTACATTTTCTTTTTAATTGATCAATAAATCAATTGATTACTAATTTGAAAATGATAATAATTAAAAGACTAATTATTTCAAATAATATAATTTTAATATATTTTAAAAGTTTTAATATTTAAATTCATGAAGTTTTAAATTTACTAAAAGTTTTCTAATTTTTTTTAATAATAATTAAATATATAAAATATAGGTCATGTAATATATGTAATATAGATGAGGGATGAAACCCCTTAATAACAGTCGAAACTTAGACAAAACTATATTAAAATCATAATAAGGGATACGACGAAATCCCTTCGATACGACAAAAGCTAAAACTGTCAAAACTATATTAAAAACATAGAAAAGGGTATGACAAAATTATTTTGAAGAGGTTTCAGCAGGCATCTATATCATGTAATATATATATTTATCATATAAAATTATATAAGTTATATAATATTAGAATTAACATATATTATTTATTTTTTTTAAAATAGAATTTAATTATTATTAATTATATATATTTTATATTACTGAAATTTAATCACCCTTAATATTCATTTATGTTATATTCTTTCAATTTTAAGTATCATACTGAATCATATTCTATCTAATACCCGTTCTTAATAGTTAAAATCAATACGAATAAATATTTATTTAAAGGTCCTTCTTTAGATTTTTATTTTATATATTAAAATTTCAAAATTATAAATATATTTGACAAGCTTAAATAGTATGTATCATATGGCAAATAATCAATTATACCAGTTGACGATGAGTTGATAACGATGTTCAGTTAAGATCGTAAATAATATCATCGAACCGTATAGATAATAAATCTAAATTCGAATTTAAAGGATTAGATAAGGAATTGCAATTCGTTCCTTCGGCGCAGTGTGTGCTATTGGCCGTGGAAAAAAGATTTTTGGCCGTTGGTCAACGGCAAATGAACAGAATGGCCAAAATGGCCAAAAAAACGGCCAAAACGACCATCGCTTAAATAATCGATAAGAATTGATATTTAGTTGGCATTTGGCCGCGGCCAAAAAAAATTTTGAACATTTGCCGGAGGTTAGCCGTTGGCTAAATGCCATCATTTTTCGGCGTGTCTAATTTAAATTAATGTTTAAAAATTCATAGGTAGTATTAATATTAATTCTTGGTTTTGCCTTTTCTTAATTGATTTTTACTACATTGTTTGTTCTTTATAAATTATTAACTTTGCTCAATTCTAAGTCTTATAAAAGTTACGGGCGGTAATATGAATTCTATATAAGATTATATGCAATTTTCATTATGGATGTTATTTTCGTCACAACAATGTTTTGAATTTAGAGAACAAACGATAAAACCCATTATATATATATATTTATCACAAGTAATCATTAATTTTTTATTATGCATAGAGGAATATATTTTGTCAATTGTGAATATTTCGTATTTTTTAAAATTTTTTGAAGTAGCAAGCCAAATATTGAATTTCATACCTCTCTATATGAAGTCGTTCGAAGCGGTCAGTGTTGATTACAAAAGTTAAACTGAAATCAAAATCGAATAAGGTGAATTGGTTTTCAGATTTCAAATTAAAAGTGTAATTAGAAGCAGATGAATAAGAACAAAAAGTGATTTTTTTGATTCTAGAAATTATGTGGAGGGGGGAAAAATATCATTATTAATTACAAACGTAGAAAAATTATAAATTATATTTATAGACCATTATTATAAAGAAAAAATCACTCTGAAATAATCTTTAAAGAAAAAGAAACTAACAACTTCGAGCCAAGCATGCATTTTTTTGACGTTCTTTCTTGTCAACTTTTGAAATACGATCCGACTTTCGAAATAACCCAATTCCATCGAATTTTTTAATCCACCTTTTTCTTTTTTCATTCAGGATAGTTATATTTCCAATCTGTTCTTGATTGTCAGTTTTTTGATTTAAATCTCGTGTAAAATCATTTTGTTGATTTATATCTTCATTTATCACATGTTCGTCTGTACTTTCTGATTCATTAGCCTGGTTTGATTTCTCACTTAATTGAATTTGATATTTTGTGGAAATTTTCTCATCATCTTCAATTGCGATTTGTGGCTCATGAACTTGAGTTATTGAGAAAGAATTGTAACTGAATAATTCTTCATCTGACATGGGAATATGTTCTATGGGAGTTGATATGATTTCCGAATCAGATGCAATTTGTTTTGAATCTGATTGTAATCGATCAGCTTCATCGTCATGAATTTTTATGGCATCATAGTTTATCTATAAAAAAAATTAATATATATATATATTTAATAAATCTCTTAAAAATAACAAGTTTGATCAAATACTGTACATAGCATAACTGGTAAATCAATCTGGTCATCTTTTTGATGAAGTTGGATTTGACCAACGGTAGATTCATCAACCTTAAATACAGTTGATAAACTTTGC